TCAGTTTCTGTGAAAAGTGAAATATTGTGTGGTTCAATGGAGAGGAAGGAGACAAACTCCTTTTTACTTCCCATAGAAACCAAACACGCTCATTATTAACATTAAACTAATCTGCATATTTGCATAGGCTGACTGGTCTTGCCTTTTCTCTTAAGGTGCACGTGGAAGTAAACCAGATCGGTGCAAGTGTTTTCTTGCTTAGATTCATTGGAACCCATTGCAGGGGGGAATTCTCAAGAATGATTGAAACTATGGATTCACTGGGACTTCAAGTACTCGAAGCTAACGTTACCACGCTCAAAGGAGTGGTGTTAAGCGTTTTCAGAGCCAAGGTCAAAGCCCAAATCACACATCATTATTTATTTGAGTGATTTTTTTTTATGAAGAAAAAAAATTGATAAAAGGACACCGTGAGTTGGCGAAATTGCTACTATATCCTTACATGATTTGATATGTAACCTTATGGAATGAGGGTATAGTGGCAATTTCACAAGGATGATGTACATCATGTGTAGTTCAGATATTTTTGGTTGAACTTCATTGCTTCTAATACAAGCATTGACATTGCTTTCCTTTTGGCAGGCTAAAACAGATGAGGCCTATGATTCAGTCAAGCTAAAATATGTGTTGGTTCAGGCGCTCAGCTAACAAACTGAAAAGTCTCGCTGTACAGTAACTAATCTGCGAATCAAAGAATACTTCTCCACTTCAAACTGTCCGGATTGCAAGCCGCGACTTCAGTCTGGTTTATGACTTGCATGAATATGAGAATGTTAGTGACTTGTCAAAATCTATATATTGCTTTGTAGATTGAGTTATTCTGTTGATGTTAATGGAAGAACAACCAAATCTGCACCAGAAGCAAGTCAATTGTTTTGACAAGAAATAATACTTGAGTGGAACTTTTCAACATTTTAAAATGTTAAATGGTATTATTGAAAGAAAAATGACAGTGGCATTTTTGACAAAAACGAATAGTTGAGTGGCATTCATAACACTGCACTCCATCATCAATCTATCATCATTAAGCGACATGTTGAGCAATATTTTGAAACTCAAACTGATCGATCAAACTTTAAATGTATGTATTTTAGTCTTGCTTTTCTAGCATAAAACATACGTAGTAATTATTGAGAAAAAGTTAGAAAGAAATTGAGTAAAATAATAATTAATATGCTAAATTTAAATTTATGAACATTTGTTTCGAGTATTGTTAAAAAATATCTTTTCTATGTTACTCAAAAGAATTGAATTGCATAATGAGAAAATAATTTGTTTAAAGTAGATTTTTTAAAGTGTCTTTTAATATATGTACAACAAACACACAATTCTAGAATGTTAATTGTTTTGGTGCGTAACCTCAATTAAATTAAAATATAAAATAGTGTGTTTGTCGTGCATCTAACATACACATATTTACATTTACGAGTAATACAATATTAATTTCAATACTTGGAGATGCTATTAAATTAATATATGTCCTGATTACTTTAAACTTTAAAATACATAAACTTTAGATTTTAACATTTCCAAACAAATTAAATTGTACTACGAGGAAAGTGTTGGGACCGCGCGTGCCTCACCCCAATCCCCATTAGCATAATATTATCCGCTCTGGACCAATCCCTCACAGATTTGTTTTGAGTACTTTCCAAAAGGCCTCACACTAATAGGGTTGAAGTAACCATATAAATATTGGTTTCCTTTCTCTTTTCCAAACGGTGTGGGAGGGGTTTGATACCCAACAAACCTCCCCTCAAACCCAGACCACACAATCCTGTGACCTCCCCTCCTGCGATAATCTGTTTCTAATATGTCATCTTCTTGTACCACCACAACAACCCGCGAGACGCACTGCCCGACAAGGCATTCCTGCAAACCTTTACCCTGCACGCTTGGAGATCACCTCTTGGTCTAATTTTGCACATCGTTCGGTTGGCACACTGTCCCCTGTAAACTCCGCACAACATAAGACACCATCCACCTGCTCCGGTTGGCACATCGTTCTACTAGGCACTCATGCACAACACCCAGACCCTCCGCGGATCTTGTAGGTCCTTCTCCATGCTGGCCGATGTCGCTCCGAGAACTCTGCACGCGTAAGTCCGCTACTCCGCTCTCCAAACCTAGGATCTGATACCACTTGTTAGAACCGAGTTTGCCCTCACTCCAACCCCGCATTAGTATGATATTATCCGCTTAGAGCCAAGCCCTCACAAATTTTCTTTTGAGAACCCTCCACGGATCTCGTAGGTCTTTCTCCATGTTGGTTGATGTCGCACCGAGAACTCCATATGCGTAGGTCCGCTACTATGCCCTCCGAACCTGGGCTCCGATACCACTTGTTGGGACCTCCCTCACCCTAACCCCGCATTAGTATGATTTTGTCCGCTTTGGACCAAGCCCTCACATATTTGTTTTTGAAAATTTCTCAAAATGCATCATACTAATAGGATTGAGTAACCATATAAATATTGATTTTTTTTTTCTTTTCCATACGGTGTGGGAGGGGTATGATATCCAACAGAAAGTGATTATGTAATGTCATAAAATATAAATAAAACTTTATATATAAAAACTTGGATTAAGCTATTTGTATACTGTTAAAGGAAAGAGAATATTTGGTGTATAATATTTGGAGATATTTGTGTATATATTGTTTTGGTAGTTTTCCTTGTATAGGATTCTTTCTTTTTCCTTTACTTATTAGGAGTCTCAACTTGTGATATCCTCCTATATATATGTCCTCATTATAAATTGTATAGACAAGAGAGAAATACAGAGAATTTCCTCCCAAATAACTCTTTCATGGTATCAGAGCCAAAACCCTAGAATTTTTCTGCGACTACTGTTCACGATCGCCCGGGATGGCGTCCATCGATCGTTGCTCAGTTTTAGTCGGTTGTTGCTGTTGCCGGATAACGGAACGGTCGACCGTTGCTCTAGAACGGTTGAGCACGTTGTTGGAACACATTTTACACGTTTAACTAAAGTTGTGTTCATTTCTGACAGGTTTTGATAATTGCCAAACCGCCGTGGATATAAAGAGTTTCGTTGAATAACTCAAGGTGCGAAGAATGGCATGGAACAAGACCTAAAAGACTCAAGGACAAGATCAAGAATTGAAGACTTAGTCGAGTCGGTCTTTTGTGGTCAAAACCGACAATCAATTCAAGTCTCGGTTCTCAAAGAGTCTAAATATTTTTTATAAAATCATAAAATATTTTTGTGAATCAAAATAAACATTTTTGATAAATTTTTTTATTGTTTAAATCCTTGGTCCTTGCTCAGAACCAAAATCACCTAAGTCGGCATACGGTGTTCGGCGTTCAGTTTTTGGCGCCCGAACCAACTCGGTGGTTTTCAATGTTTTAAACCTCGCTTTTAACTTTGAGCATATTTTAAAGGTTCCCAAATAATTATTTTATAAAAACCACTTTTGTATCTTGGTCAATCGGTCTAACACGTGAAAAACGGTCATGTCCGTACGCACGTGATTTACGACCTTGAAGACTTGGTTTTTACCAAACCAGTCTTGTTTTCACTATTTTATACCATATACAATGTTTTTCAAACTTGGTTTTTACTTTTGGGAACACTTCGTCTTTGGACCTTGGTTTTTCAAAACGGGTTTTCGCTGGCTAAGCTTTGGCTGGGTGAAAATCGATTATCACCTTAGTGACAATCGATTTTCAAGCCTTGCAGCTTTGAACTCCAAAAGTTCTGAAGCTAGCAATAGTCGATTATCACATTTGCAATAATCGATTATCAGTCTGTGCAGCCAAACCCCAGAATCTTCTGAGAGGACCAATAATCGATTATCACTAGTTGACAATCGATTATCTGGGTTACCGTTGTCCTCCAACGGATAGTTTTTAAAACTTTTGAACAGGGAATCTTTTAATAATCGATTATCATGCCTAGACAATCGATTATCACCCTGCAAATCTGAAAAATTTGTCTTCATCCTGTTAGAAAATCTAGCAACGGTTTTATCCCATTTTGGGCTATAAAGTGGCACCCAAATCCTCTCATTTTTTACACAATTCTTCAACATTTCAATACTCTTTCATTGCATAAGCATTCCTATTCTTCTTAGCTATTTGAGAGCCAATTCTTGAAGAAATTGTCGTGTTCTTGAGCGTTTACTATTTCACTCAAATCTACTCTTTGTGAGAGTTTTATTCCTGAGTGTTTAAGTGTTTTCATACACTTTAAGGGAGGTTGTTCCCTTGTTGTAAACTCGAAGGAAGTTCTTTGTTCCTTCGTGAGAAGTCTTGGAATGCGGTATCTCCGAGCAAAGGCGTTGAGGCTCGTGTGACTCGAGTTCTCAAGTTGTATCGGTTTGTTGAGCACCCTTAAGCTTAACGGAGTTAGTGTAGCTCAAGAGAGTCTCTCGGAAGGCTGGATTAGCCACACGTTGTGGTAAACCAAGATAAAATTCGGTGTGCTCCTTCCTTACGCTCTTTACTTTAACACTTTCGTTTTAATTTCCTGCGATTTTGTTTTAAACGCTATTCACCCCGCTCTAGCGTTGGGCCTTTATTCTAACACACGTCAACCGTCCCGTCGGCAGATTGTTTGATTGAGGCTGCTGTTGATTTTTCCGCCACCGCCGTACGCCACTCTGCTACCGCCATGGCCGATGAACAACCAAGGAAGATGTTTTTCTCCCTATCATCGTGTGTTTCTAGTATGAAGCTTTCAGGTATTCCTGTGTCGCCGCGTTGGATTATAGATACTAGGGCATCAAATCATATGACTGGTGATATATCGTTATTCCATGATGTCGCGTGGGAATATCACCATGTGATATTGGTTTGCCCAATGGGAAAAGAATTATTTCTGTACAATCTGGGAAGATTAAATTAACATAAACATTAATTCTGCACGATGTCCTATATGTTCCCACTTTAAGTTGCCATTTAATCTCTGTGTCACAATTGACAAGGAATTCGAATTGTGAGGCACGTTTTGCCAACGATAAGTGTATACTACAGGATCTGTGTTTAAAGATAGAAATTGGTACGGGTGAGCAGGAAGGAGGACTTTATTACTTCAAGAGCCTGAAAAGAAGATGGTGTGCAGTGCGAAGAAGGAGAGTAAGTTTGATCTTTGGCACAAACGACTTGGACATCCTTCTTCTCATGCTTTGTCTATTGTTCCTGGAGTTGGAACAAGTAAGAGTAGTCACAGTTGTTGTGACATTTGTTTGCGTGCTAAACAGACTCGTGGGAGTTTTCCTATAAGTTTTTATCAATCTGTTGATAAATTTGATATAATACACTGTGATTTATCGGGACCATATAGGACTCCAAGTTTTGATGGTTCTACAATGTTCTTGACTATTGTGGATGATTTTTCGAGAGGTGTTTGGGTACATTTGCTTGATTCCAAACGTAAGGTTGGCACTATTTTTAAACAATTCTGTGCTATGGTAGAACGACAATTTGGGAAGAAAATAAAGTGTGTTCGCAGTGATAATGGCACAGAATTTGAATGCCTAAACGAATATTTCCGGGAGCAAGGAATTATTCATGAGACGTCTTGTGTGTCTACTCCACAACAGAATGGGAGAGTAGAACGCAAGCACCGACACATTTTGAATGTGGGTCGAGCTTTGAGGTTTCAGGCTGGTCTTTCGATTGAGTTCTGGGAAGAGTGTATACAGACCGCTGCACATCTCATCAATCGCACACCTTCGTCTTTGCTAGGGGGGTCACACCATACGAGAAGATATATGAAAACTACCCTTTTTGGCTCATATTCGTGTTTTTGGATGCAGATGTTATGCTCATAACTTGAAGAGGAATGGAGATAAATTCGCACCAAGAAGCAATCATAGAATATTTGTTGGATATCCACAAGGGAAGAAGGGATGGCGTATTTACTACCCGGAAACTGGGGAAATTAAGGTGTCCCGGGATGTTGTGTTCTGTGAAGATATTTTCCCTTTCTTGACTCTTACAAGTGCATCTCTTGATACAGGAAGTACAAATGAGGTTAGCTCTTATGATGAAGATGAAGAACTGCGGACGGAAGACCAGATGGACCGTTCCAGGAGGGACGGTCAACCGGAGGAAAGCGGTAGAGCAGACAGGCTACAGACGATCAACCTGATGGACCGTTTGGATGTCCGCGGTCGACCGTCCGAGAGGCAAAATGACAGGTTCCTGAGAGATGACCAAACGGTCGACCTAGTGGACCGTCCTGATATCCACGGTCGACCATCCGCGAGGCAAAATGACGTTTCTTTGAGAGATGATCAAACGGTCGACCGTGATGTGGAAGACGGTCGACCGTCTCCGAGGCAGAAAGTTAGCGATCCGGAACAGCTTCAGACGGCTGACCCTGTGGACCGCTCCACGGACAGCGGTCGACCGTCCTCTTCCCTTCAGGCGGTGGAGAACTTGGAACGTGGTCAGCGTGAGAAACGTCCAAATGTACGCCTTGCCGATTATGTTACTCATGTAGCTGGTTCACATGTTGGTGAAAAATGCAAATATCCTCTTGCCTCGTATGTCACACACGAGAAGTTCTCTGACAGACACAAGTGTTTTCTCAGCGCACTTGATGCTGGAGTGGAGCCCACGAGTTTCAAGAAGGCATTCCAGGATGAACGATGGAGGAAGGCTATGAGAGAGGAGATTGATGCACTGGAGGCTAATGGGACGTGGTCTCTTGTCTCTCCTCCACACCATAAAAAGCCCCTTGGTTGCAAATGGTATATAAGATCAAGCGCAAGTCCGATGGAAGTGTGGAGAGATATAAGGCTAGACTTGTTTTACTTGGCAATCATCAGGTTAAAGGACTTAACTACAAAGAAACATTTGCTCCGGTAGTCAAGTTGACCACTGTGAGAACGCTTTTAGCAGTTGCAGCAGTTAAGGGGTGGGAATTGCATTAGATGGATGTTCACAATTGTTGTATCCCTGGTTGGCTCCACCAAAACCCAAACTCTCCCAACATATCCAAAAGTTTTCTTTCCTTTCTTTTATCAAAAATAAAATCTTTTCCATCAAAATGAGAAGAAAATAAAAGTCAAAACCTTTGTTTCTTGTTTTTATCTTTTCAAACCTTTGTTTTCAAATCCTTTTTACCCAAATAATGCCTTTCCCTCTTTCTCTTCCAACCTTGATTCTGAAGCCCTGAATAATCAATTATATATAATTGATAATCGACTATTATAGCTCTCTGATTCTTCTCCGCAAAACCAACAACCTCAAATAATCGAGTAATAATCGATTATCTCTACTCACTGAAAGTACCCAGATTTGAGCAAGCCCTTAATAATCGATTGTCCTTGAAGTGTCAATCGACTATTTGGTGTCTCTGAATATTTCCGGATTGAAACCAAATCCTGTGAATCGATTATCCAGAGATATTAATCGATTATTCTACATCCCTGAACCTTGAAAGCCAAAGTTGTTCAATTCCTGTTTGCATTTCCTAAGCTTGGGTACAAGGCTGAAATTATTCCCTGAATTTCAACAAAGAATAAAGCCTTTTCTTTCCTAAAATAAAAGCATAATCACTTTTGATACAAAGGGACAAAATCACAAACAAAGTCATTGAATGAATAGTACTGTTTTGGCATTTTATAGCTCAAATGTCTAAAGCTTGATTTCCCTTTGTTTTCTTCCTTATATGCACGAAATTTGTCCCCAAATAAACCCAAGGAAGATCAGCCCAAAAATCTAGAGAAGCATCTTGGAAAATCAGCTCACATGGATGTTCTTTAATCTTTGATTTGCAATAAGGAAGTAGGAAGTTTCCTTTATTATATTTTTCTTCATTTGTTGTTGTACTTCCCTTCCATTGTGGCCTATATATATAACCATAAGACCATTGTAATAGGCAGCTTAATTTTGAATTACAACTTTGTTTACTCTTTTTTTTAGTATTCTCTTAAAATAGTATGATGCTATTTTAACCAAATTCCTAATTCTATATCTTAAGGGTGGTTACCTTAAGTATCAGTTTTAGGTTCTAGTTATTTAAATAAGTGTGTTATATCTTATTTGAATACTAGACTCAACCCCAAGTTAGAATAAGAGTGTGTAATATCTCTTAACACCAACTTGGTTTACCCAACACTTATTTCTTTCCATTTCTGATCCCACCATTTCTCTCCTGATCCTCCCTCCTTTTTCTCATATTAAAAACCATAAAAAAGAACTCTTTCACACTCCATTTATTTCGCCCCTTGCTTCCCTTCTACATCTTTTCACATTTCTTCTCCAAAAACCACAATTCAGTTGAGAGCCCTAGTTCGATATACAACATCTGGTATCAGATCTCAACTTCGACGACTTTCTCAAGTCTCGACGATTACCGGAGGACCAGCTTCATCCACGTTGCACAAAAACAAAGCTGCTGAAAATTGCTCCTGAAAGTACGGTTGTTAGGTGCCAGGCCGTTGGGTACCCCGATGGAGCCAAATCATCACTTGGCTCGTTTCCAAGCCCCGGTTCTTGCAGATCTAAAACCATATCGACGATTGGTTGGAAGGTTGGTCTATCTCTCCGTTACATGACCGGAACTTTCTTACGCCGTCCACACTTTAGCACAGTTTTTGAAGGAACCAATGGAGGATCAGTGGTCTGCGGCCCTTAGAGTTGTTCGTTATTTGAAAGGATGTCTGGGTCAGGGCATTTTTCTGTCAGCAAAGAGTAGTCTTCAACTCACAGGATGATGTGATTCAGACTGGGTAGCATGTCATTTGATGAGGCGGTCATTGACAGGGTGGTTTGTGCAGCTTGGAGACTCGCCTGTCTCATGGAAAACAAAGAAGCAGTCGACGGTGGCTCGCTCGTCTACTGAAGCAGAGTATAGAGCTTTGGCTGTCTTTACATGTGAGTTGAAGTGGTTGAAGAATGTATTGCGGTGTTTAGGGGTTGAGCATAAGAACCCCATGACGGTCCGGTGTGACAGCACGGCGGCACTTCACATTGCTGCTAATCCGGTTTTCCACGAACGCACGAAGCACATTGAGATTGATTGTCACTTCGTTCGTGATGAGCTCTTGCAAGGAGAGATTCGTACACTTCATGTGCCTACTACGCATCAGGTTGCAGACATTCATACAAAGGCACTCGGAAAGTCACGTTTGGAGTTTCTTCTTCCCAAGTTGGGCATTTCGTTATTACATGCTCCAACTTGAGAGGGGTGTTAAAGGAAAGAGAATATTTGGTGTAGAATATTTGGAGATATTTATGTATATATTGTTTTGGTAGTTTTCCTTGTATAGGGATTCTTTCCTTTTCATTTTCCTTTACTTATTAGGAGTCTCAACTTGTGAGATTTTATATATATGTCCTCATTGTAAATTGTATAGACAAGAGAGAAATACAGAGAATTTTCTCCCAAATAATTTTTTCATATACCAAAATTTGTACTCCAAAGACATGCACTGATATTTTGTGTTGGTGTGATGATTTACATTGGTAAAAAATATTAGTATAATTTTTTTTAATTAAACTAATATTTTTTACCTGCGAATCGTTAAAATGTATGTGTTTTTTTGGAGTACAGCTAAAGGTACACTTTAGTTTACTCGTAGCATGGTTGAAAAATCTTACATAAATGACAACATTAAGGGGGTGTTTGTTTTTTGGTCAGAAGAGCTTCTGGCCTCTTTTGTCTGCGCCGCACAGACGCGCGCAGATGCTGAGCTCTGCAGATTGTTTGTTTTTTGGAAGACATTTCACTCAAAAAGGTCTTCCTGGCATCTTCTTGGAAAAAACATTAACCTATGTCTTCTAACATCTTCTCCATTTTTTTCTTCTACGTCTCTTCACCACCACCACCGTCCACCACCGTCCACCATCACTGCCACCGTCATCCACCACCACCGCCATCGTCCACCACTACCACCGTCCACCATCACCGTCACCGTCAATCACCATCGTCGTCGCCACCATCCACCGCCACCACCGTCCACCACCACCCTTCACCACCACCCTCCACCACCACCACAATCGTCCATACACCACCACCGTACACTACCACCATTAATTTATATAACAGTCTACAGACATTAAAAAACAAACAATCTTCTTCTTGCAGACCGCAGACCTTCGGTCCACCATTTCTCTTACAAATGTCTACAATAGTGGTCCGCAGGCTGCAGACCTTTTCCTGCAGAAAAAACAAACACCCTCTAACTCTTCTTCAAAAACAACCACATTAGAACAAATCCCGGCCCCCGTAGCTCAAATGAAGTGAGTATGAGTTTAAACTTTAAACGCATTTGAGTCAAAATTGACCCACTGGTCAACTTGTTCGGCGCCGTCCGTATTCTCTTTGGTTTTTTATTGGTCTCTTGGTCCATAAATAAAATTCTTGCTCATTATTCACATGGTCAAATTTTATTCACTTTTTGGTCCATTTTTGTCACTCATTTGATAGAATAATACAATCATGTCACCTCTGGTTTTGTAGATCTTTTGAAATAGTTTTTTAATATGTAATTTTTATTTTAAAATTTTTACACTATTTTTCATACACCGTATAAAATGATTTAAAAATAACTTCAGTCAAATATCGTAACACACAATTGGAAGTTTATTTATGGACGGAGGGAGTATTAGTTTAACTTTAGTTTGAATTTACTTCGGGTTGATAAAATTTCAGATTTTGATTCAATTCTAGATAAATCGGTTCGGAAAAAAATTTATCTTCGAATATATTTTAGTTCGAATATATTTTGATTTTGGATAAATTTAGATTCGATATTTTTCAATTTCATGTATATTCTGATTCGATAAGTTTAAATTGTTATGTTTCCTCTTTATTTCATATCACATTTATCAATATATCATAATTCACCATCTCACATTATTTTACATTTTTTCAAACTATTTTTTTGTGATTTTTTTCTTTGAGATTTTTTTCTTTATGTCCACTTTCTTCTCACACTTATTATTTAAAAAATTTATATAGAATTCTTTAAATTAAAAAAAACATTAAAAATATACTTTTAGAATTATCAACTGCTTATTTTATTTTGTTACTTTTCAGGAAAAAAAAACTATATAATTTTTAAAATTAAGTTTGAAATATTTTAAAGATATTATTTTTATTATTAATTGATTAAAAATAAAGTAACTTTCATTATTCTTAAATTTGATGATCAATAATTTTGTATAAACTTTCCATTTCTTAATATTATGTCAATATGTATTTCTTTATTCTACTTTTTTTAATATACATTATTATTTTGAAAAGATACTTACAAAAAAAATTACACAACATTTTCTTTTTTATTTCTTTACAAAAAAAAGTTTTATTTGAAGTTTAATAAATTAGTATCATTGTTAACACTTACAACTTTTATTTTAAAAATATCATATCTTATTATTAAAAAAAGGTTTAAATAATGAATGCTAATATTTATTAGAAATTTAAATAAAAACTAAATATTTTAATTTAGAATATAATTTTATCAATATGTTATAGAATAAAAAAATTAGAATATATAACAATCCGTGTGAAACACAAGATTAAAAATAGTCTAGAAAGTAGCGGAGTAGTATGAGGGGTGAATTTAGTGTTTTGAAAGGTGTGACTATCACCGCCCTTTTTGTTTTATCACCCAATATTTTTAGTTTTAACTTTTTACTCTCTATTTATTTCTTTTCTCAATTTTTCTCATTGTTTGAGTTTTTTATCCCACTCAATCTCAATCATCTCTCACATTTTAGAAAAGATCTAATTGTAAAAAAAATTAGAACAAATGAGTATCTAAATACGGAGTATATAACAAACTTGCTCAAGTGATAAAAATAAAGTTTTTAAAAACTGCAATTACATTAATGAAGTTGTGCACATGATTAAGGTTGTCTTTGGAATTGAAAACAGTTTTTTCAGATGACTTTTTGATTTTTTGTCTGATTTTTTCTTTTTTGACTAATCGAAGAGCAAAAAATATTGTTTGACTAATGAATTTTTTCACTTATTGTTTAATCCGAAAAAGCAAAATGTGAAAAACCCAATGCAGTAGCTTTTGAGCTTAATTGTTAAAATTTAAAATTTAAAATTTAAAAATTTAAAATTTAAAATTTAAAATTTAAAAATTAAAATTTAAAATTTAAAATTTAAAATTTAAAATTTAAAATTTAAAATTTAAAATTTAAAATTTAAAATTTAAAATTTAAAATTTAAAATTTAAAATTTAAAATTTAAAATTTAAAATTTAAAATTTAAAATTTAAAATTTAAAATTTAAAATTTAAAATTTAAAATTTAAAATTTAAAATTTAAAATTTAAAACCTATAATTTAAAATTTAAAATTTAAAATTTAAAATTTAAAATTTAAAATCTAAAATTTAAAATTTAATATTTAATATTTAAAATTTGAAATTTGAAATTTGAACTTTAAAATTTTAAGTTTGAAATTTGAAATTTAAAATTTAAATTTAAAATTTAAAGTTAAATTTAAATTTAAAATTTAAAGTTAAATTTTAATTTAAAATTTAAATTTTAAATTAAAATTTAAATTTAAATGTAAGTTTGTATTTTTCTTTTCATTTTGTTTTTCCATATTTTTATCTTTTATTTTGGATTTTGTTTTTTGAACCCCAAAAAACGTTTGTTTTAAATTCTTGAAAACCAAAAAATGAAAATAATTAGTTTAAGATGGATGGAGCGTATGTTAAATTGTTTGTTTGTTGTTTCAAACACAAAAGATTTTTAATTTTTTTAATATACTATAAAAATTAGAAAGAAATTTAAGAAACTTTTCTAAGAAATGAAAATTTACGAAACTTTTATTAGAAAAGGAAATAAAGAGAGTGAAAAAGAAATGAATTAATGAAAAAACGAAAAAAAAAATCAAAAAGTGAAAACAAGTTCTCTTCCTTTATGTGATTTAGAAAATACACACTGATGCCCTCATCTTTTCTTGAAAAAATAGCCGGAAAGTAATCAGAAGGGTGCCACAACGTTGGAACTGTAAGTTTGTGGGGGCGCAGTGGATAACACCAAACACAAGCTATGCGAACAAATCAGTCAACTATGTTGCAGAGAAGAAACTGCGGCACTGTCACAATAATAGACAGAGAAGCAGATGATGCAGAGGGTGTTACAGCGCCTACTGGGCAGAATGCTGTAACTATAAAATGTGTAAAAAATAACATCAGATATGTTTACGCAGTTCGGAGCAAATTCTCCTAGTTTGCAGGGCCCACGTCTGTGTAATAGCCGTCCACTAAATCACTAGATGCAAGTTACACTGGTACATAACAACATGATGAGACACACTTCTCCGAATTGTTATGACAAAACTTCTAATCTAGGTTTTCTAACTCGTACCCTGTACAGATCTGCTTCGGCTATCACATCTCCACCGAGATCACGAGGACAAACGTGTTGGCAACCCTCTCCTTAAGTTCTGGTTCATCTCTTGGACGTTACGATCTGTTTGGCATTGAAGATCTCCTCTTTCATGTAGATCACAACCTTCTTCACGCATGGGAAGCTCTGGGACGCGACGTGAATGCTCTACATTAGTGTATATTCTTTGTTTTTCCTCTCGATTGTTCCCAGTAATTCCTAGGGACCTGCTGCGTTTTATAGGCTTCTCTTAACACAATTCTAGTAGGAATAAGTTAGTGGAAGTTGGCTTGAATTCAACTTTCTTAATCTTGATCCACAAGTAGCCTAAAGAGTTGTGGTTCCTTAATAAATACAGCTGGAGTTATTATCATGTAGTCACATTCCCAATAGGTCTCTAATTCAGATTGCAGCTTAAAATCCCGTGCTCAGACCTCTGATCCCAAATAATGTGTTGCATCATCGTGTTGTAGCATCTTCTGTGTCAACCTCAAAAACTGCAGTAATTCTAGAAATCTAAATAAAATAAACCTTTTCTAACTAATAGAGGTTTCTACATAGTAAAACACCTAACAAATATGGGATTCTATTTTGCCAAAAGATTAGCTAACACCATGGAACTAACAAGAACTACATGGATTTTAAAAATAAGTTTTAAAAATAAAGAAAACATTGATGCTAATTTTCTAAATCATAAGGAACACTGAAGCTATATTGCCTATAAAAAAACGGAGTAATAAAATTTCACAAAGAAGTTAATGGACTAATTCAATTTACCTTTTTCTACCACTTTCTTTGCAACATTTTCTTCATGGTGAAACAAAATGATTTTCTTTTCTAAAGGATATTATTAACCTTCTTTCCTTTTTTTTCCCCTAAAGACTGTTATTAATTTTCTTACTTTACTACTTTCTTACACAGTAAAGAAAAATACTTAAAAATAAAAAATACGGAAAAATTTTGTTGCAACTTGAAATAGAGATCATTATAGGCAAAATCTTTGGGTATTTAGATCCACCATGGGGTACATATATATGAGAAAAATAAGCATGTTCTAAACTATTTAAATAAGTACTACGGGGTATTTGTTTTTTAGAATTAAAAAAATTTAAAAAATATTTTTTATGTGAGAAGGTCTACAAAAATAATATGCACCCAAGGTGCACCGAAGAAGCACTCATCATTATAAAGAATCATACTCTTTCCGCTCAACAATAAATTTCTCAGTTACTATTATAGGCTCTCGGCAACATATGTCTGTTTGCATTATTTTATCAATCATTCGATAAGATAAAATATTATTGTCCAATATGATCTTGTTTTGTAAAACTTTTGATGTAGTTTTAAACAATGTAATTTGTACATTTTTTGGTATACCAATTTGTAGATAAAATAATTTTAAGAAAGATTGACTCTTCCAAATGAGACTTTTATTGTTAAACGAAGGGAGTATATTTTATTATCAAAAACTCAGGGCCTATTTGGGATAGGCGTTTTGGGTGGAAACGTGCGACCTATCTTACTCCACCATTTGTTTTGCGCTAAAAGAGACCAGCGTTTTTTGCATACAGCCCATCGCTATTTTATCGCACAGCCTAACACAAAAAGCTCCCCAGGGCCAGCGTTCTACATCGTTTTGAAGAAAATTTTCAATTCTACACCAAAAATCTACCGGGAAGCATTTGTTTATTTTCCCCAAGCCACTGATTTGCTTTGAAAAACTAGGGTTATATGAGCCTAAAATTCCATAGAAGAATCTGATTCAAGTAAGAAATTTAATTCGTTTCAGCTTTTCAAAATTAATTTAGGTTTATTTTTAAGAATTCCTCTATATTATTTTTTTTACTTGTGTTCAGTTATTTTAATCTTTGAAATTTGGTATATACAGAAAAGTAGAATATGAGTACTCCTGGCTTGTGCATCTCTATATTTACTAAAGAGTAATTTACCTAAATAGGACTAAAACATAATGACTTTCCTAATATAGGACCATATGTTTTTATTTCCCAATGTAGGACTTTTGGTCATTATGAAGTAGTCATTATTCAAGTAAATTTCCATCATTATGGACATTATTCCTCCCACTAGGTCATTATTAAGTCTTATTTAGGGAATAAAAAGTTTAAGTCCTACATTAAGAAAGTCATTATGTTTTAGTCCTATTTAGTGTAAATTCTTCACTTTTAAAAATATATGGTATAGCACCGAAAAGATTGCCTGTGTTTTTTTCCATTTGTGGTATATGATTAGCTTAATCACTCCTCCTTCTTTCAATCTATTGAGTGAAAGTTCTATGCAGTTTCTTGTTCCTCATGTAGAATTTTTTCAAAAGATTCAATCTTATTTCCTAAAACGGGATTTGTCATGAGTGGTTCTATAGTATATTGCTATAAAGATGTACTTATGAGATCATAAATATAACATTAGAGGAATAAGTGGATTTGAGAGTTTATGGATTTGGCATTTTACATTTGGAGTGTATGCTACTTTAATTTAATTTTTATTTTTTTATATATTAGAGAATAGAGATTAGACCTTTTGCTAGATACTGTTGTTTTGGTTTTTGGGGGTATATTACAGTTTTAACCTTAGGGAGTATCCATGGATGGAAAAAAGGAAGCAATATATATGGATTTCAACCCTCTGATGAAAAAACCCTGCGATGAAGGCCACATGATAACAACTTCGAGTACTCCCTCCCTCCCCTAGTATTTGTCCATTTTCATTTTTGCACACCATCTAATACACTTCTTTAATTTATTTTATCTTGTAATTTGTATATTAAAAATTTATAGAAATTATATATTAATAATCTATATGTTCAAACAAATCAAACAAGATCGCACATGACTATACTTAGGCTTACACATTGAGAGAATTTGATGAGTCAGAGTGCATAGATGAACAGTTCCAAACGTCAAAACTGGACAAATTTTGGGGGACGGAGGGAGTATCATTTAAATTGTACATTGTCCAATTGCGTATTCTAGTAATTTTTAAACCATTAGCTTTTGTAAATATTCAATTACCAAACAATAAAAAATCAAATAGCTAATCACTAACTCTAATGCAAACAGCTAATCACTAACTCTAAACTCTAAAGCTCTTGCCAAACAGGCCCTAAATGGTTGAAACATACTAGGAGAGTGATTTACTTAAATTTACCTCCCCCCCCACACTTTCTTTGCAACATTTCCTTCCTCATGAAACAAAAATATTTACTTTTCTAAAGGCTATTATCAACCTTCTTACTTTTTTTTTCTATAGGCTATTATTAACTTTCTTACTTTTTTTACACGCTAAAGAAAAATATTTAAAATTAAAAAAATAAAATAACTTTGTTGTAATAGAGATAAACTAAACAATACGAAAAAACTTTCTTAATAAAGAATCACATATTTTATTATAGATAACTAAAATGTAGAAACATACTAGGAGAATGGTTAGGGTTGGCTGGGTTGCATTAAAAAAGTACTCCACACTTGTGAATCATGCTTTATTAAAAGTAAAATTTAATTGAGTTCCAAAGTTTGTCCAATTTGACTCGAAAAAGTCAAACTGGACGAATACACGGAGGTAATATTCATTTTAACTTTCATTCGTTTCAAAAAATACTTTCAATTAAAATCTTCTTTTAATCCATACTAATTATTAAATTATCAAGTTATTATTAATATATCTATCGCATCTTATCATACTCCGCTATAAAATAAGAACAAAGTTGAAAAATAACGCTAAAATTAAAGATTTCTATAATCTCTCATTTTTCAAGGTAGGAACATTTTATGGCTAAATGAAGTACGGAGTATATTTTTTATTTCTACTTAAAACCTCTACTTTTCCATCAATCTCACACTCCTAAACTCCTAATTGTATTTTGAAATTGATAAAAAAGATAGTACTCCGTAGTGTTAGTTCCATGTTGTTGGCTAATCTTTTGGCAAAATAGAATCCCATATGTGATAGATGTTTTACTAGGTAGAAACCTCTATTTGTTAGGAGAGGTTTATTTTATTTAGACTTCTAGAGCTGCTGCAGTTTTCGAGGTTGACGCAGAAGATGCTACAGCACGATGCTGCAACACAGTGTGCGGGATCAGAGGTCTGAGCACGGGATTTTAAGCTGCAATCTGAATTAGAGACCTATTGGGATTGCGATTACATGATAATAACTCCATCCAGCTGTACATGCTAAGGAATCCCAACTCTTTAGACTACTTGTGGATCAAGATTAAAGAAGTAGAGTTCAAGGCAACTTCTACTATCCTATTCCTATTAGAATTGTGTTAAGAGAGGCCTATAAAAACGCAGCAGATCCCTGGGAATTACTTGGAGCGATCCAGAGGGAAAACAAAGAATACACGCTGATGTAGAGCATTCCCGTCGCGTCCCGGAGCTTCCCTTGCGTGAAGAAAGTTACGATCTACATGAAGAAGGAGTCCTACAATGAAAACCAGATCGTGGCAATCAGGAGATGAACCAGAGCTTAAGGAGAGGGCTGCCAACACGTTTGTCCTTGTGATCTCGGTGGAGATGTGATAGCCGAAGCGGATCTGAACAGAGTTCGGGTTAGAAATCCTAGATTAGAAGTTTTGTCATAGCAATTCGGAGTAGGGTGTCTCATCATGTTGTTATGTACCGGTGTAACTTGCATCTAGTGATTTAGTGGAGGGCTATTACACGGACATGGGCCCCGCAGATTAGGAGAGTTTCTCCGAACTGCGTAAACATATCTGGTGTCATTTTTACGCTTTTATAGTTACAGCATTCTGTCCAGTAGGCGCTGTAACACCCTCTGCATCATCTACTTCTGTGTGTGCTTGTGACAGAGAAGTGTAATAGCACACTGTCCGTCATCTGTTACTGTGACAGTGTTGCAGCGTCTTTTCTACAGTATAGTGGATTGATTTGTTTGCATAGCTCTTAATTGGTGATTTCCGCTGCGCCCCCACGAACTTTCACGTAGTACTCCCTCCGTCCACCTAAGATTTTTTCTAATTACGTGTTACGAGGCTTGACCAACTTTATTTCAATTCAATTTAATTGATTATAGGAGTAAAATTTTAAAATAAAATTTATATAGTAATAAACTACATGAAAAATTCTACAAAACTAGAGGTGACAAGACTATATTATTTTACGAAATGACTAGTAAAAATGAGCAAACAAAGTGAGTAAATTTGACCATGTGAATTGTGTCTAGGAAGATCTATGGTGGACAAAGAGAGTAATTTAATTTAGGAGAGAAGAAATAGGCTACATAGGCTACATACATATAAATGTAGATGCTCTCTTTTGTTTCACATCCCATTCATTCATTTATTCATTCATTCATCCATTCTTGCAACTCCTCTCATATCCTCTCCTCTTAATTCATTTATTCTCTTTCCTAAAGTTTCATTAACTAATTAATTCCTCACAAAGTAATTAATGGAAGAAGATAACAACAAAATGGAAAGCTCTAGTCTGCTAGAAAAAGATCACCGGAGAGATGACGACGGCGATCTACTCCCCCTCTCCGTCCAGCTATCTGCCCTGCCCTTTTCCGATGACGGTGAAGATGAAGAGGAAGAGGAAGATGACGAGGACGACGAAGAGTTCTCTTTTGCCTGCAACGACGGCGCTTTGCTGTCGCCGGTAGCGGCCGGTGAAGTACTTTTCCGGGACAGGGAGATCGGCCCTGTTTTTCCGTTATTCGACCGGGACCTTTTCTTGGCCGCTTCTGCCTCGGCCTCCACGCCGCCGGTCAAGCAGGTTTTCGTGGAGACAACAACGTCTTCTTCCGGGAAAGAAGAAGTCGCCGGGGCGTTCTGCAATTGGTCGTCGGAGAAGAATAAGACGGCCGGGGAGACTAACGGCGTGGAACCGCCGGCGCCGGAGGAGGGTTGCAAGAAAAGCAACTCCACGGGATTTTCGAGGTTCTGGAGATTCAAGGACTTCGTCCACCGGAGTAACAGCGACGGGAGGGACGCATTCGTTTTATTGAAACCTCCGGCGCCGGCGAAGGAGAGGGCCGGCGGAGTCAACGCCAAAGACGCGGGCGAAGTCGAAGTCAAAGTCAAAAATCCGCAAAAGAAGAAAAAGAAAAGCGAAAGCGCGTTGGCCCACGAGCGTTACATGAAAAGTAAGGCCGGCGACGGTCCCGGTAGGCGGCGGTCGTACCTGCCTTACCGGCCGGAGCTTGTCGGGCTATTCACTAATGTCAACGGCGGATTAACAAGAAATGTCCATCCGTTTTGAGAGTGTTGATGATTCAATTCATTATTTAATTGTAATGCTACTAATTGAGGAGCATTCGTGTGGTTATTACTCCATATATTGTTTTTGTAATTTTGGGATATATTGTAAAATTATTTAAATTATTGTAGCACCAAATATATACTCTAATTACTTGGATTTGTGTGGCATTTGAATATAATAAAATAAATTTAATGAAACCCTTTTTAATAAATATACATTATATACTGAGTAGTTATTATTTACTTGAGGTCTATAATTTATCTAGTTCATAATAAAAGAATTGTACAATAGAGTTTGACAACTCTGTAAAAAAAGGATGAGTCTTGTCTACGAGGAGTCTTTCACAATCGGCCGGACAACCACCTGAGCGAAAGAAAATTTAATTTTAATTATAAATTTGCTGGCAAAAGATGAAGCATGCACTTTTACTTGCAGACAATCTAGTGTTATTCTTTGAGATTCAAACCCTGTCGATTGCTCTGTAGAGAGCAAAACGCTTGGGGCACTAAATTGTAGCGCAATCATCTTCCCACCACATATTGTCTCCGTCTCTAAATATTTGTTCTAATTTTGACCTTTTTGTAGTAAGTTATTTCTAACGATTGACCTATAATTAAATAAAATTACAAAATATATTAGCAAGATAAAAATTATTTTGAAAATACTATATAAAAAATCTAAAAATATAATTTTTGTATCAAAATCTAATATCACTTTTATTTAATTAATGATCAAAGTTCATAAATTTTGATTGTAAACGAGATAAATTAACTCCTTGTTTCCGTTTAAGATGTTTGATCAATTTTATTTTCATTTCAATTTATTTAAGTATATGTGTGAAATTTAAGAATAAAGTTTATATATTTAAAAATTACGGAGTACAACAAAAATTCTACAAAACTAGATGTGACATGACTATATTATTTTATAAAATGACTAATGTTCATCGATAAGCCGGTGTTAGAGCGGATCATATGACTAATGAAAAACAATAAATAATGCGAATAAAGTTTGACTATGTGAATAATAACTGAAAGGATAATTTTAAGATGGATGAAGTATAAGTTAGTGGCCCGAATATCTCCAAAGCACTCTGTGGTTTAGATCATGAGTACAAATGTCCCATCTGTTTTCAAAATTTATTTATAAAACTTTCATGGTTCCAAAATGTTACACATACACTATCTCTAAGTATTATCCAATGTCCCATGCAATTTGAAAAATTGACACTAATGTTTATCTTCGCCAGAAAGATGGCCAAAAAACAATCATAGACGTATAAGTGCAATGTTTTGAAATCACATAAATTCTATAAATATGTTTTAAAAATAAAGAAGATATCAATGCTTATTTTCTAAATTGATGTGGGTGCAGATGTTATTACACCTAAGTTAGTGTATCCTACCATGCATGTTGGAGAGACTATAGAGACTATACATTTGGAGTTGCCTTCCAACAAATAAGAAAACAAAACAAAGAACATTTGGACATGCTTGGGAAAGACCACTCTTTAATTTGAATTAACCTAGGTGTACCCTAAAATGTGGCATCTCATTTGTACACATAGAATCTCCATGTCTATGGGTACAAACATATAGAGTCTGTATGTGTCTGTAAATGTTTGAGTATAAAGGGAAAAAGACTAAGTAAAAGTATAATACGGAGTATTGAAAATATATATTTCTGAAATAAGAGATAAAATGTATTTACAATGTTAATCGTGACTATATAAATGACAAAAGTATTGTGAAATATACATTTGAATTAGCACATTATCACAATTCGAACACTTATTTGGGAGATAAAAACATAGAAGTCATATTTTAATATTTAGTTTATGTTTTACTTATAATGCTTAGACCATTTCTAACCCTACTTCGTATTTCTAGGTTTGCATAGGCTTTCTTCCAATGGTGCTTCATCTCTAAACGTATATTGCATTTGTCTTCTCATTCTTTTCTCTTAAGCCCAAATTTCCGTTTCTCCTATACCTTACTCCATATATTTTTTTCTTTTCTTTTTTATTTTGATTTTTTGTGTGTGCTTGATGTGTATTTATTTGTTGTAGGTTAATTCATTGATTTTTATTGCAGCTAGTTTATCTAAATTATTTATTTATAAATTTTCAGTTTAAAAAGTAGTTAAAAAAATGAAATATAGAGTGAAAATATTCTTTTGGTTTGAATTTGGTGCACTGGATTAGAGATAAATTACCTTTTGAATTAATATTTACTACATTTTAAATTTGAATTTGGTGTAATAGATTGGAAATAAATTAGTGTTTGAATTGATGTTTAGTGCACTTTGAGTCTGGGTTTAGTGCATTTTGAGTCTGGGTACAAATGACATGTTCCAAAGTGAAATTTGCACTAAATGAGACTAAAACATAAGTCATTTTTTAATGTAGGACTTAAAACTTTTTTATTCTTTAAATAGGACTTAATAATGTCTAATGAGAAGAATAATGTCCAGTAATAATAGATATTTAGTTGAATAATGATTAATTGATAATGACCAAAAATCATACGTTGGAAAATAAAAACATATAATCTTATATTAAAAAAGTCATTATGTTTTAATCTTATTTAAATAAATTTTTCTAAAATGAAATCCCAATATGTCATTTTGGTACACCGTACCCCTGGCATTGCCCCCTTTAATTTCTCGGTGAGGATCGATTCATCGAAGTATGTGGATGAGGAAAACTCAAGTCCCCAGTGCCACCGCCGTGTTCGGCGGCGCAGCCGCTATTTACAACCTTGCCGGTTTTGCGTCCAATCGGCCATATGTATCCTTCTCCTCCCGCAAATCCCGGCTGCCGCGCTCTCTTCACTCTCATCTCTACCTGGTTACGGCCGCCATTGGCACCTCCCTCCCCCAGATCAATCCAACCCTTCCTACTCGCAGTGCTGGACCCACCGGTAAATATGGCATTCTTTAGTGTATGAGTGCAATTACATTCCTTTTTAGTCTCTCTAATTAAAATAATAATAATCATAAATAAAGGGGATAAGAGATTTCAGGAGAAACGCTCCAAAGTGATTTTGAAGGGAATGAGATACACTGAACTTGAAGTATGTATATCTTTCCATACCAGTAGCTTGATTTCGTTGATTTTTTTATGTCAATTTCCATATCTGTAGCTTGATTTCGTTGATTTTTTATGTCAATAATTGCTGTATTGATTACTTCTGTGCAAGCATTGTGTGATTGTTCTTGAAGCGTTTAATCAGAAAAGTGGCATTGTCAATAAACAGTAGTATGAGGCATGCTTGGATTGGCCTATACTACATTAAAATGGGATGCAAGGAATGCACCTAAGCATTATGTATGAATTTACATAATCTAAACACACTATTGACTGCAGATACTGGTAAAGCTTCGAGCTTATTTTCCATTCTTGGGTAAAATGTAAATATATATAAATGTACGAATCCAAAAGTGAAATTTACAAATGTATAACAAAGTAGAGAGGCAAATACACAGGCCCACACACAATCAAGCATCAATCAAAGCAGCTGGGTAAAGTCTATGCATGACTATACCCAGCCCCACACACAATCAGGAATCGATCAAAATGGCCGGGTAAAGTCTATACACACAATCAGGAATCAAGTCCATAGAAGTAAAGTAGGTATCGTAAAAATTATTTGCATTCCTAGCTTCCCAATGCAGGTAGACGGTGCTCTCAAATACCAACCTTGATGATTTACTACTTATCAAATACATCCACGGTTACTTTTAAGCTTTGGCCGAAGTTAATTACACATCTTACCCGATACGAGCTTGCCATTAGAACATAAGGAACACAAGCCATCAACCACCCGGTTACTCGCATTCAAATGCCTTAATAAGAGAATCCTTTAATCTCAGCAAGAGTTTTCAACAAAGGAGAGTCACTCTTGTGGGGCTTCCTCTACCACACAAACGGGCATTATTCTTAAGCCCATGAACCCAACACACCCAAAGAGTGTCACTCTTCATGTGAATGTTCCACAAGACTTTTACCAAAAGAGAATTTATACCAATCCTCCAGTCCCCGACCCCCCACCCCCACATCTTTGAGGGCACACAGGTCATGCCAAGCCACCTTGAAATTTTCCATTGTGATCTTATGATCAATAGTTGCTATTATGCATCCCCTGATCATTTATTTTTTATTGCTAGTACTCCCTCCATCCATTAAAGGATTTTCCATCATGATTTCACGGAGATTAAGAAAGGTGTTGAAAAAAATTGAACGATGTTGAATAGTCAAGTTAGAGTATAAAACCTTTCTACTTTTCTAGGGCCACAACCACGGGCATGAGCTTTTGGTTGAGCTCGTTCCTTGACATGGTGTTAGAGGTTTGTTGACCAAGAGGTCACGAGTTCAAACCTTACCATCACCAATGAAGAGGCATGTTAGTGTATAAAAACCTTTCCTGGCCACAACTACAAGCTTAAGCTTTTGGTTGAGTTGGTTCCTTGACAATTCAAAAGTGAGTGGTGAGAATTTGTTTAAAAGAGAAACATATTTTGGATCGCAAATTCTTTCCTTAAATTTGGGAAATTATTTTGGGACATAAAAAGGAAAGCGAGAAATCCTTTATGGGACAGAGGTAGTAGTATTGTTATTATCATCATTATTGTCGTCGTTGTTGTTATTGGTATTATCGTTATTATTTCAGAAATGGGTTCAATCACATGGTTATAGACCCGGTCAGGCATTGATGCTGTGGAAGCGCCTTTATGCAAAAAATTTCTGGGCTCAATCTAGTGATGAGCTAGAAGGTCTGTGGGTAATTTAATGGAAATTCTTATCATCACATTGATGATCCAATATTTGTAAATTACAATGAACATAAACAAGTGCATGTTTTTCATGGACAGTTGAATATTTGCATGTTTGAAATGCCATTTAATTTGTAGCAAGAACTGAGGGCAACTTGTTTATTTTGTTTACAGGGTTGAATAAAAAATTCAGAGAAATGCTAAGTGAGCATGCTGAATTCAAAGCATTAGACTTGAAAGATATCTTAACTGCATCGGATGGAACTAAGAAGGTAAATGTGACCCAATGCTTTTATTATTAATACACATAAACAGCTTTATTTTGAACGAGCCCTACAGTTTAATGTTCTCTTCTTTGAGAATCATCACATTTATGTAGAACTCGCAGGGGGTTACAGATGTTATTCACGTTGGAAGATGGCATGGTAATAGAAACTGTTGTTATACCTTGTGACCGGGGTAGAAATACTGTCTGCATATCTAGTCAAGTTGGCTGTGCGTTGAATTGCCAGTTCTGCTACACTGGCAGGCAAGTTCTGGATCATCATCATTTTATTATTATTGTTGTTATTATTATTACTACTACTACTACTACTACTCTCTCCATCCCACTAAGTTTGGGACATGGGGCAAAAAAAAGTGAAATGTGTGAGATATTGAATCTGTAAAGTATGCATGCAGTTATGATTATTTGGACCACACAAATATAATAAATATGGAATGGGACAAAGATGTGGAACAAACAAAAATGATGAAGGGGCAAAGATAGTGGGGCATAAAGAGAATTATTAATGACGAGACAAAATCTTTCAATTTTTTCAACACCTTTCTTAATCTCCGTGAACTTAAAATGGAAAATCCTTTATTGGATGGAGGGAGTACTAGCAATAAAAAATAAATGAGCAGGGGATGCATAATAGCAACTATCAATCATAAGATCACAATGGAAAATTGCAAGGTGGCTTGGCATGACCTGTGTGCCCTCAAAGATGTGGGGGTGGGGGGTCTTGGACTGGGGGATTGGTATCAAATTCTCTTTTGGTAAAAGTCTTGTGGAACATTCACATGAAGAGTGACAGTGACACTCTTTGGGTGTGTTGGGTTCATGGGCTTAAGCGTAATGGCCGTTTGTATGGTAGAGGAAGCCCCACAAGAGTGACTCTCCTTTGTTGAAAACTCTCACTGAGATTAAAGGGTTCCCTTATTAAGGCATTTGAATAGGAGTAACCGGGTGGTTGATGGCCTGTGTGCTCTATGTTATAATGGCAAGCTCGTATCGGGTAATATGTGTAATTAACTTTGGCCAAAGCTTAAAAGTAACCATGGATGTATTTGATTCTAAAATATTATCCCCCCCCCGCAAAATAAAGCCCATTTACGGAGTGGATTGTTTTTATAGATAGATTGCCTAGTATTGAAAATATATTGTTCCTCAAGATTGGTGAAAATTGGCGTTTATGGGCACTTGAAGAGGAAACCGCGGCAGGCAGGTTTGTTCTTCTCAAGCACCTTTGCAAGTCGGGTTCGGGATAAAGTTCAGACTTGGTGGGGCTTGCGGTGATGTGGGATGTCAATTCTCAACCGGGCTATAAAATACCTGCGGAAGGATAATAGTGGAGAAAAGATAAGTAGTAAATCATCAAGGTTGGCATTGGAGAGCACCGTCTACCTCCAGCTTGGCCTCGCGGGTTCAAGATATACACACCATACCCCTTTACAAATAGAAAAGTTTCTTCTGTTAGACCCATGAAGCATTGCTGCATTTGGTGCCCAAAACTTCATAGACAGTAAAAAGGAAGGGAGTTTTATTATATTTATTTTGATCGTAGTTATTAATTGCAGAATGGGCCTAAAGAGACATTTATCTACTGCGGAGATAGTGGAGCAGGCAGTTCTTGCACAACGTTTCCTGTCAAGTGAAGTTGGTACAATTACAAATGTTGTATTCATGGTAGGTCAAACTTCCTTCTATACTTCAGCCATACCATTTCAATGATCAGGAGTGAGGAAGTGAGCAGCTTATTGTTTGTTCTGTCAGGTGTGATGTGTGAGCCCAGAACTCGATGGTTTATGAGTATATTCTTTTACCCTAAGTTTGCAAGGCTATGCGTGGTCACTTGTTTGATCGATCACAGCTAGTACCAATTGGACTAAATTATACGGAGTATATTGACTATGACTTTTATATCCCTTTGACCTTAGTGACTTCACATCTTCACTACCTTTGTACTAGTTTCTCATGGATCTAGGGTTTAATATATCGTTAGTCGTTATTATTATCATCTGCATTTTCTTGGATTAGGACTCTATTAACTTGCACACCAAGACTTTTAGTTATACATTCATTAACAAAATCATTGTTGAAGCAATTAAACAATTCTTCCTAATTAGTCACTTCTTTAAGCATACAAGTTTGAGGGTGATGAAAGTAGTAAATCTTTTTATTTATTTGTTTATGCATTTATTGCACTGCCTTACTGCTTCAGACATTAGTGTCTTAAACTATACCCTCCATTTTATGTTTTAGTTGATTTTTTTTGTTTTGTTTCACGATATATGCCCTGTTTTAAAAAATAAAAAGAACATTTACTACCAACTTCCAATTGTTGCCACCCGTGTTTATCTCAATTTTCAATTAATGTGATGTCTAATAGGTCTAAGAAGAGTATTAATTAAGTGCAGTTTAGGTATAGAGTCCTCAATTTGGATGAAAACTCTTTTTGGGCAGCAGATCACTGCGTTCTTGCAAGATTCTAGGATATTTAATTAGTTTCTTAATCTATGCAGTTAATCCTTAACGAGTCATTGTGCAACATTGGGAGTGTTTCATTAACCATTAATGAATATGATTCATCTCAATTCATATTGGATTTGTGCTACATGTTCTCCACATTTCTCTCAATAATTCATACCCCGAATTTCGCAAGCTAAATTAGAGTTTATTCTATTGTGGTCCTAAGGTCCACATGTATAATGTGGACCTTCTCACAAATTTTTCATGGACTTATATATGGATCTCTTTCTTTTTACAAGGTCCAATACATACAACCATTTTATGTACAACCATGTTAGGGGTACACCAAGAAGTGTATCCCAAATTGTACCTCAAAGGAATGCACCAGCATTTTAACGGTTCACACTGATACAAAATGCTAGTTCATTAAATAAATTGCACGGTCATTTTGTGTCATTGTAAACCATCACACTAGCATTACACTAGCACAAAATGTTTGTGCATGTCTTCGAGATACAAAGTGGGGTACAATTTTCGCGGTACACGCATTTTAGTTCGTTTATGTATCAAGGTCCATAAAATGAGTATGCACCAGAGGACCACCAAAGAATTTGCCACTAAAATTATGCTAGACTACGGCATATTTTGTCATTTTTTGGATCACAGGGATTAATGATTTGCATTATATAGGGGATGGGGGAGCCACTCCACAACACTGATAATGTGATAAGAGCTGCAGACATATTGGTTGATGAACAAGGGCTTCATTTCAGTCCTCGCAAGGTGACCATCTCAACCAGCGGACTTGTACCCCAGCTAAGGCGTTTTCTTCATGAATCTAATTGTGCTTTAGCAGTCAGCCTGAATGCTACAACTGATGAGGCAAGTTTTTTTTTTGAGAGGCCACCATGAAGAAATATGATGCAAATAAAAGCGGTACACAAGTTTATTATCATCATTCGTGAAAACATTACAGGTTAGAAATTGGATCATGCCAATCAACCGCAAATATAACTTGAAGTTACTTCTTGGGACTCTTAAAGAGGAGCTTCGTGCAAAACACAACTACAAAGTTCTGTTTGAATATGTCATGCTTGCCGGAGTTAATGACAGGTGCTCATTTTTTCTTTTTAAGTGCATTTCACCATGAAGCCTTGAACAGTAGTACTTATTTACTCAACCAAAAACACATAATAATTCTGTCAACCCAATTGGTTCTCTCTTTTCTAATAATTAATCTATTCCCAGGCACTCTAATTGGCCGTCTACGTTTTTCTTTTTCTTTTTTTATTTCCTCCGGAATAACACGTCTTATCCACAGCCTATAATCTGCCCAATCCACCTGACCCTGATTGGGTACTAGGCACGTTGTGTGTTTGGAACAACCTTTTACTCCAAAGGTAAAAGATAAGATGGCTACTTGTCAATTTGTCATTTGTCCATGTGAGACTTTGAGCATCATTTGGCCCCTCTTATCTGCTTATTTTTCTCCCTGTCCCATATTTAAGTTTTGACTTTCCTTTTATAGATGTCTCAACGTTAAGTCTCCAGTCCCTTTAAGGAAAGAAGTGTTTGGTTCATAGTTCTCTTGTGCATAAATCTCAACCAAGAATTTTACATTTTCTTGAACTGGGAAAAAAAGGGACTCAAGTATGGAAGAGTGGGAGTAAGGGGACAGAGGTAGTGTAAAACTTGTTTGACCGAATAAAAATTACCCAACACTTTTTCTCTTCAAAAATTCAACCGGTTTTGCAATTTCAACCAAATAACCCCCACCAAGTAGTCTTAAATTCGCTATAGTAATACAACAACAATACTAAAAAGAAATATAGTAAAATCCCACAGAGGGGTCTAGAGAGGGTGAATGTACGCTGACCTTACCTCAAAGATGTTTTCAAGAGACTCCCAACTCAAAACAAAAGGATCACAAGTAAAAACAAGGAAACATAGAAAATATAAAGGAGAGAAGCACAAAGCAAACGCATACGTAGTTACAACAAAGGTAATAAGTCCTACACAATGGAAGCACACTACCCAAACTCTACCCTACCTTTTCCTAGGCCTCCAGATATCTTCAGTTAGTTCATGAAGTCGTAAGTCATGTCTAATCATCTCGCTAAAACTCTTGCTAGGTCTCTTAACCCCTCATATTTCTTACCTCTAGCTTCTCCCACCTTTCATACTTCCTAGCACGTGCCAAAAACATCTCAGTCTAGTTTCACGCATCTTATCCTCCACAAAGACCACTCTCACCTTCCCCCAATATCTTCATTTGGGACATTCTTTTATTCATCTTCTCTGTAACTCAGAGCTTCTGAACGTGAACTTCCTTTATCAACCAGTACTCTTCTCCATACAACATAACCGACATAGCCGGCTTGACCACTTTCTGGTAAAATTTCTCTTTCGATTTCGTTGATATCTTCTTACCATAAGATACCTGAAGCAAGCTTCCACTTCATCCAAGCCACTTCAATACGGTGAACAATATCTCCATGGTAATGCATGGTAAAAATAACCAGGTTGTTATATTACCATAGTATTGTTTGGTATTGTTTAGTTCATGTTTTCATAACCAGTGCGTTACTTTGAGATTATCTTCGCATAGAAAAATTAGGTAATGTTAGGGTACTCCGTAATGTACTAGACCATCCCAATTCCCAACCCTCCCTACACAATTAACAACGCAAGTGATATCACATTCTATGAACTAAACATCTCAAGCTAATTCTACATTCTCACACGCTCGTATTATGTTCCAAGAGCAAATCCTATTACGTAAAGGTAATCTTACATTCCGTGAACCAGACACGCCCTAAGGGCAATGATAAAATGGTTAATTGTTTCTTGTCATTGTAAGACTCAAAGCAAGACTACACAACTTCTCTTTTCCAAATCTCATTTGCTGTCATGTTTTCTTTTTTTTTACTGAGTATTTTATTTTTCAGTATTGAGGATGCAAAGAGGCTAATTGATCTGGTTGAGGGCATTCCTTGCAAAATTAACCTCATACCTTTCAACCCTCATTCTGGGTCTCTGTTTAAACCAACAAAGGAGGAGAAGATTATTGAGTTCCGAAATATTCTAGCTGAAGCAGGTTGTGTTGTTTTTCTGAGGCCAAGCAGAGGTGACGATCAAATGGCTGCTTGTGGTCAGCTTGGTAAGCCCGGGGACATACAGGCCCCGTTGCTACGGGTTCCTTCCCAGTTTCATGCATTACAACAAGTTTCAGTATAATTTCATTCACCGTTGCTACCGATTGCCTCTTTTTGTTTCCGATTCTTGGCTTAATTATATTAAACATTACTCCGTTTGTCCACTTTCTAAAAATATCCTAAATTTAAGTACTCTGTATTATGGAGTACGATGAAATGACAGCTAGTCTCTCTCATACTCGCGCACGCACACATATTTCCGTTCAGATGAGAATGCTTTTAACGTGAAGATGTGGGTATGGATATGGTGCACATTTTTGTTCAACATCATGCGCATATACGTTTTGCGGTAATGCATATTTTTTTCTACAAAAAATTAATCCAGATACCCTAAATTTTCTGGTAATGACTCCCAAATCTTACATTATCTAAAATATACTCTCGGGTACTCTCAAATTTTGATACTTTGACGAATACTAAATTTTAGTTAATAATTACGGAGTATTACTTTATTAAATTTAAATAAAATTCTTCAATTTCACAAAGTTAAAGAACTATCAATCATAATGCCTAAATGGGCGGAATATACCCTCGAAGTATATTATCACAAATTTTAAGCATCTTGAAATATATTTCGCATAATATGGAACCTGAGAGTTCTTATCAAAAAATTGACGATACACTTGATATATTTTAGATAATGGGACTTGAGAGTCATTACTGAAAAATCGAGGATACTCGAGAGTAATTTTCTGCTTTTTTTCTAATTATTTTTTATATAATGTGCTGGCGTGTCGTTGCTTGATTCCTAAAACTTTTGTTATAGTCATGTCACATTCTGATTTGTAGAACTTTTATTTAAATTTCACGTCAATTTAAAAGTAATTTGAACTAAAAATATTGTCATTCAAAAGTCGTACTCCGAATTGAAAAGTAGGGAGCAATCGAGGAAGATAGCTCAATTTGGGATGAAGATAGCAAGATAAGGTAAGAATAAATTGAACCATATTAATATCACAAAATATATAGTACCCTTAGTATATAACAAAAATAGTTAGACGAATAAAAAAAAGGAACAAAGAATTTATTTTTTTCCGTCCCAAATTAGTTGCCTTGTTTCAAATAATAAGTAAGATTCTATCTACTTTAAAAATAATTTTAATTCTGAGTTGGTATCATAATATAAAAATTACAACTTATATATTTAAAACTATATCAAAAGTGATAAAAATAAGTAGTGGCATGCATATTTATTTTATCTAATGATTAATGATAACATATACGGAGTACTTGATATGTCCACTAATTTCTTTCTCACTTTTTTTTGGGTCGTCCACAAATATATTTATGTTTCTTATTTAAGTAAAAAACTTTTAATAAATGTATCATTATACTCACACTTTTCATGTATACTATTATCTTTATTCCATGACATCGAGAAATAATATATATAAAGACTTTATATTTTTAACGTTTCTTTATCTCCATACTAAGTTGAAATTAAAAAAGATATTGTGGAACGTAGGAAATATAAAAATAAAATTTATCGAAAGTGGGATGAATGGAATATTGTTGAGGCCCAAAATGTTAGGTTGATCGAGATAGCCACATGATATTTTTTTGTTGGGCTCCCACAAATTTATCTAAGGACGGAAGGCCCATTTCAAAAACGTATAATTGCTCGGCCTAGACATAGTGTTCACTCCCAAACCCTAGTTTACATTCCCTGTGCAGGCGAAGGAGAACGTGAGCTCAGAGTCATGGCGGACAGAGGAAGTTTCGAACGCGGCTTCGGAGGAGAAAGGCGAGGAGGCCGTGGCGATCGCGGACCTCGCGGAGATCGTGGACGTGGCCGTCGCCGCCGTGCTACGGAGGAGGAGAAATGGGTTCCATGTACAAAGCTCGGCCGGCTGGTGAAGGATGGAAGGATCAATTCGCTGGAGCAGATCTACCTTCATTCGCTCCCCATCAAGGAGTATCAGATTGTTGATACCCTCATCGGCCCATCCTTGAAGGACGAGGTGATGAAGATCATGCCGGTTCAGAAGCAGACCCGGGCTGGTCAGAGGACCCGGTTCAAGGCTTTCGTCGTCGTCGGCGATGGAAATGGTCACGTAGGTCTCGGCGTCAAGTGCTCTAAGGAAGTCGCAACTGCAATTCGCGGCGCCATCATTGCCGCAAAGCTTTCTCTGATTCCCGTGAGGAGAGGATACTGGGGAAACAAGATCGGAAAGCCTCACACCGTTCCCTGCAAGGTCACCGGAAAGTGTGGATCCGTTACCGTCCGGATGGTTCCAGCGCCGCGAGGTGCCGGTATTGTGGCGGCTAGGGTTCCAAAGAAGGTCCTGCAGTTCGCTGGTATTGAAGATGTCTTCACATCATCCCGTGGCTCCACAAAAACTCTTGGAAATTTTGTTAAGGTATTTGTATCTTTTTGCATTACATGTGTTTTGAATCTCCATTATGCTCTATAATTAAATAGGCGATTCTTTTATCAATTTGTTTGTGATAATAATAATCCTAATTACATATACAAAACAATCATACATAGAATTAAATGTATTTTCTGGCTGTCTATTTTCAATGGTTACAGACTTTGGTAATTGCATTGTTTATGCTTGTTAAATATTCCTTGGAAATGCACAAGTTATTGAATTATCATTTTAAAATTTATCATTATAAAACATTTGTTTCTAATAAATAATAAAATTAAAAACCTGAGTTGATTGTAGATCTTTCATTTTCATGCCAAAAAGTACATACATTTTTTTATATGGGTGATGCTAAAATTCACCTCTAAAGGCTGTATCCAAATTTTCACCAAAATGTGCTAAATCCGCACCATTATCAATGTTATGTTAATGAGTGGGGATTTAGCAATATTAGGCGAAAGATGTGGATTTAGCAAAAAGTTATTGAATTGTCATTTTAAAATATACCATTATAAATTGTGTTTCTCATAAATAATCAAGTAAAAAGTAAAATCCCAGAATTGAGTGTAGATCTTTCATTCTCTTGACAAAAAATGCATACAGCATACATTTTTTATATGGGTAATGGGTGATGCTAAAATCCACCCCTAAATGGCTAGTTCCATATTTTCACCAAAATGTGCTAAATCCACACCCATATCAAAGTTATATTAATGGGTCTGGATTTAGCAAAATTAGGTGAAAGGTGCGGATATGGCCATCAAGGGATGGATTTAGCAACACTTTTTTAGAGTTACCTGATTATCAATCAATTAAGCAGGCCAACCAAGTTCATGTTTATCTTGGCAGCAAATTTGCACTGAGAATCCCAATGTGTTTGTTGCTTATTGTATCTTTTTTTATGCACATTGCTTATTGTATCTAATAATAATAATAATCTTGTAATATGCTTTGTCCATTACAAACTTGCTACCAAGTACAAACTTGCAAACTAACATGCATAGCGTTTTAGTTATCTCTATAACAATTTTACTTTTAGTGTTGAAGTGTATTTACTTGCCTTCCTTAAGATTTCTTTTGATTGTTGCAATTTGGAACCAGATTTCTCCATAGTTTATCCTTTTGCGTACTTTATGTTGATCGGTTTTCTCCTTTTTTTGCAGGCTACTTTTGATTGTCTCTCTAAGACCTACGGATTCCTCACGCCAGATCTATGGGCTCAGACCAAATTCATGAAGTCCCCATTCGAGGAGTTCAGCGATATCTTGGCTGGCCCCACGACCAAATATATTGCTCTAGAAGAGGCTTCTGGTGAAAAGCTCGAGGCATGAGCTTTAGATGTTCTTTGTTACTAAGATTATGTTTGTTTTGCTTTGATTGTCAATCTGGGGAGCTCAATTTTCTTATGGGTTTTTAATCACAGAACTACCACCTCAAATTGTTTTTTGCTTTGTTCATTGACTGGCGTTTGTGTTTTCTAATAGACTAGTACTTCTGCTATTCTCTTTGTTCATGACCCCTCCCACCCCACCCCCACACCCACCCCAAAGAAAAGGGCTTTAGTACGAGCTCGAATGCCATCCTTCAACCATTTTGCCATCACTTGTGAATCAGAATTGGTTCTTGACCGGTTCCCTCCCAAGTCTTATGACTTCTCATATTGCCATTATTTGGGTATGGTTGTTTGAAGTGATCCCTAAATTGGCTGTAAATCCTCCATGCCAAAGTGCTTGGAAAGAGTTTCTCATTTCTCCATTGCCAATCGTGGAATACTTTAGGATGAAAGTAGTATTTTTTAAAATACATTATTTAAACATGGAAAAAATATTTTCAATATTGTCAAGATGTGTATTTGAGAATGCATTATTTTGTTTTTGGGTATTATTTCAAGAAATCAACTTAATTAAAAGTTTGATCGGAGGTCTAGAAAATATTTTTATACGCTATTAAACCTCAAAAATGTCTAATTACTCCATATTATATTCCTACCCACAACGAAAATATTTCTTGCTCACTATACACATTAAATTTTGATAACTCCTTTTCTTATTTTTATTACTTATTTGATAATATCATAATCTTGTCATTTCTTATTCTATAGAAATATTGATGAAACTTTTTAATATATAGAATAATTTTTTTTAATTTACTCAAATTTTCATAAAAATTGAATTACAAATAAATTTAGTCGAATAAAGTAACATGCAACAAGAAAGTATTTCCATCACGGAGGGAGTAAGTTTAATTTTAAAAAAAAACATTTCAAACCCCAAAAGATAAAAATAATTTTACATTACCTCTATGGCAATGCTTGATGAATGGTGTAGAATGCTGATTATTGAATAGTGTCGCAATTTGGGTATTTGGGATGGTGAAAAGATGGTAGTACTCCGTAGTATACTACAGTAGTATTTGGAATGGTGAAGATAGTGAAAAAAGAAGTTTGAATTATATAGACGGTTTTGGAACAAGGCACCGGGCAAGCCTGTTTTACCCTTGGAATTTTTTTTGAAGATCTTGGAATTAAACTTTCTCCGTCACATTTTAAATTGCCTGTTTCAGTTTACGATGTTTGATTGAAGTTATTTTCAAATCATTTTATAATAAAAACAATGTAGATTTAAAAAATAAAAATTACATATTCAAAAACTACAGTACATCAAAAGATCCATAAAACTAAGAATGATATAACTATATTATTTTATGAAATGACTAACAAAAATAGAAAAAAAAGTAAATAAAATTTGACCTTACAAATAGTAAACAGACAATTTAAACGAAGGGAGTAGAATTTACACCAAAAAATACTAAACCATCATATTTCAACACTAGTCTGCTTTTGTTACATAAAAGACATCAAAGCTTTGAACT